TATATATTTAAATAGCTTCTTCATAAGTATTGTTAAAAAAAACCCTTGCATAATTGTAGAAAACGTCTGTTTCTGTATTTGGAATATCCAAATAGATTTTTTTCAGAAACGGGCATTTTGGAAGCTTTATTAGATTGCTTAAGGATTGCACATTCTCTTAAAACCTTATCAAAATTTTATTAAAAATCTATGGTTTCTTTTTTCTCTACAATCACTCTTAAGTTTGACCAGGAAGCTGAAAACACAGGTAAAAAAATAAAACCGATCCAGTGAAGTTTTATTTTCCTTTTCCAAATAATTCGAAAATAAATATGTTTTTAAATGGTTTGTGTCTGTGTAATCGTTTATCCGTAATTTGATACATTTTCCTCTTGTGGTATTGTGTTCCTTTTTAAGTTGTTCATGTTAAGAATTTGCGCGGCCGTAGTTTTCATTAGTCATTATGAATTTTCATAGCTATGATATTTTTTTTTATCTCTCAGACTTCTCTAATTATTATCACGTTCCTATCATGTGTCGGTGACTGTTAACCCGCATATCATGATCATGTCTCTTTCCGTTGATCCACTTTTTACCGGAAATTAATTTGTCTTCAGAAGATTGTTTCAAAGGAAATGAATTGTATGGTGATTTAGTATTATTTTGCATGTATTTAGAGAGCAAAACAGTAAAAAAATTAAGAGCGCACTTTTCACTGAAAGCGATATCATTGAATTATATAGGTGTTACAGTTAATGCGCAAATAAAATACATTTATTTTTCATTTCACTCGATTTCATACTCTGGAAACCATAGCAGTAGGTCGTTATACTGTTGTCTGTCATAGCGTATGTTGTCTACATATATCGATACGTTTGTTAAATTTATTTTGTTTTTTTATAAGTTGAAAAGTATGATGTACATGTAGAACTATTTCTGAATCTGAGTTTTCTCACATGCATTATGTTTAATATACTATACAGAAGATACTTACTAATAGTTTATGCAATTTATTGCTTCTGCTGCACCCAATATGATCTTCAAAAATTTTCTGTAAATCAAAAATTTAAACATAAATTGTTCTAAATTTATTTTCATTAATTATTTTTCTTTAACAAAGTTGTTCTGGTAAAACTTTTCAAAAAAACTTTTGTCTTTAAAAGAAATATTTATAACTTCAATCTTGTGATTTTTTTTGAAAAAAACTTGTTTATTTCAGCTAAAAGGAATTATAGTTCAGTCTATATACTTTATATCTTTTTCCCAATGGGTTGCAGAAAAGCAACAAAGCCTTTGCAGACACGGCAAGTCCCCAAATGTGAGAGTCATTTCAGTGGTGGCACCATCTAGAGTGGCGGCTCTCGCTACCAAATTTGGATGCTTGAATAATTTAATTCAAGCTCTCGTCGGATGTTAAATATTGTCGTGATTTAATTTTGCCGAGAGTGCCAAATTGATACTCAAAGGATTTTCCCATGCCCAATAATCATATGACATTAGTTTCTACGATTTTCGCATTCAGAAAATCTATCGACTTCAGCCGGGGTCCAACCGCTACCTTAGGTTTACGAAGTGGGCAGGCTACCTCTAAGCCACCGGAGCCGCCTAACTAGTTTTGCGTATTTATATTAGTTAAGAGTTGCGAGATTGTAATTAGACAGTAAAAAGCAATGTGTGTGCTGTTTTAAGTTGCACTGTTTCCACCACCTTCTACTAATTAAAATTATTTGCTGCGACGCAAAACAGTATTCTCCTGTTTTTTTTCGTCTTAATTTTTTATCGACCCGTTTTGAATCGATGGTCATAAATTGGTTCATGGTCATTCATTTTGAAATATTTATTTCTTTGGAGTCCTTATGGTTTCTAACATATTAATAATAAGAACTCTTATTACTATGGAATTCATGCATAATATTTGAATTTTATGCTTTTTCTACGGGAATGAGTAACTGGTATTACACAAGGTGGAATCTGCTTTTCGAAAGGTATTTCAAGGCGAATAATTTTTTTACTTTAAGTTTAACAAAGTCTTCTAACATTCTATTTTTGAATTGAGAAGAAAAATGTGATGCGAAAAATTATTGAATATCCATTTATGGGATGAAGATGTTCAGAAAGAACTTTTAAGTTTAGGGATAAAGAAATAAAAATGAATAGCAGAAATAATTTTAAAATGTTTTTACACTGAATCCTGTAATTTATCACTATTCAGTTTTGATATATTTAAATGAAATTCAAAATTTTATGAAATTTTTATTTCTCGCACTGTAAGTACATTATACCGTATATTATTCATGTAAAATCTTAATTGCTGTCAAAAAGTTATTTGGAGAATTTTGAATAGTGATCGTAATTTCAAGTATTTTATTTCAGAATTATTTATCTGTTGCAGATAGTCTGTAGAGGCCGAAAAAGATTTTGTTAAAAAATACTCTTAAGAGGGGAAGGAGGAAGAAATGCGCAATTCTTTTTAAATTTCTATATTGAAACAATTATTAGAATTTTTCTATATCGTCAGTAAGAAAATTCATTCTACCTCGAAACAAATCTTCACTCCCATAACTTTTACGCCTGTTATAAAAATCTGGAATTTATCGTTTACTCACCTGTTGATGCTTTTATTTTCATTTACACTGAAAGACATATATCAATTTATATAGTTTAGAGATCAAAATTTGTGTCAGCGATTGTTTCATGATTTATTTGATTCAGAAATTGTTTTATTGATTCAGGAATTTTCTGGGGTTTATTCTTGATCAGAAAAAAGGTAGAACATAGAAGTGTGTCGGGAAAAAAAAGAAGACGCGTTGTTTTATCGATAGTGAAATCTTTTTCATTTGCTTTCTAATGCGAAAACATTATTTCTATCATTTGGTGTTAAATGATTATATATATATGTGATTACAATTGACGAAATTTGGGTTAAGACCACTGGCATAGCTAGTCCTGAATGAGCCATGTATTAAAATTCCTAGGGTCCCTTTTTCGGGAAATAAATAGTGGCCGCGGTAGCCGAGTGGTATAGGTATCGGATCGTGGCTTGCCTTGTCACGAGTTCGAGCCCAGTACCACTAAAGACCCGCCGTGTAGGGCAGCGATGCACGTTGAATCTGTCGAGAGCTGAAACGTCCTCCCGTTGGTGTGGAGTGGTAGTTAGGAGAGGGGGGTGCCAGCTCAGGTGTCGTCCACGTCACTTGACCATGGTTCAAAATTACGTGGTCCGTCACCAAAAGCCCTCGTGTAGCTGAACTGTGCGACGTTAATATTCAATCAATCAATCGGGAAATAAATAAAAATGATCTCATTAATAAACCTTATTTGAAAGTTTTAAAATGTTATACATGTGGTTTCTCTTTTAGCGTGGGGGTCCGTATCATTGATACGGCTAGCTACTCTCATGGCTAAGACGAGTATTTCGTAATCCACTGCATTATTCAGGGATCGGCAGACCACGTTTCACGAATCTCGTGCGGCTCTTCAGACTTCTGCCTTTTATGTGTTATTAAAAAACAGTTATGTTCACTAAAATTGTTTTCTCCTTTATCTTTTTCCTTTACAATTATCCATTGAAAGAATTAACCTGTATTTTTGCATACGTAATTAAATGTTCGACAGGCTTAAAACAATTCTACTATTAAATTGTTTCCCATTAACAAATCTTTTTCAAAATCAGTGAAAATATTGAATTATTTCTGAAACAGGAAACGAGTTCATATATATTTACTCGGGTGTAACCAGCATCTTGACCAGGAAGATCTGAATTAGGATGATTTAAAAATGTATGACACAATACAAAAACAATTCTTGTCAATTTTATATGAAAATGAGATAGGATATGTATTCGGTTCATGTTCTTTCCAATATTTACATACACGAACTACCTTTGTCAATTTTAATTATTAGTGCAAACATGAAATTCCTAAATAAATTACTGTTGCTAATGCCACCTGATCGGCAGTGCGAGCTCGAGACCCACGAAATTCACCATATCAAAGAGCTAGATTGTAAGCCTGTCGTTAGTCTTAGCTTTAAGCATCATGCAGGTGACTGTACGATTTGGCTCGTTTCCACCCTAATTTTGAGGGAGAACACTTTGGGGTTGGTCAGGGGCTTCCCACCTCTCTTCCCCTTCCACAAACCACACGAGAGGCTCGATAGCTATTTAGAGTACCCCCCCCCCTCCCATGCCACAAAGGCTATACATTTACTTCCATCCATGCCTTCTCCGGGATTCGAATCCAGACCCTACGGCACAGCAGTCAGTTTTACTAACCGCTTTATTGGATGGGCGGCGGAATAAGTACTTTCGGTATTAATGGTAAAGCATTTTCACGAAGTTGAAAAGTTTAATGACCAACATTATAGTATTCTGACGTTGGTTGTTCTTGCAATGAGCCATAGAAATAAATATTTTCGATAGTGCTTATTTCTTAAAGGAATGGAAAATATTACTTTATTTGAAACTTTATTTAAATAATATAAAAATTAATAATTTGAGCATGACAGTGTCTTGGTTGCTTATGCGTATAAATGGCCCTATCATACCTTCGTTATGTTGTTTCACTATAACAACTTGACTCTTCTGACTTGAAATTTGCTGACCCCTGGTTTAACCTATCTCTAACTAAGAGGTTTTATTTTCTTTCTTCCCTCTCTCCCCAATTACATGTATCAAAAGATTAATAATTCCATATTTTTTTAATTATATGTCGATAGCAGTAATTCTCAACTTTTTTCAATTCCTACTGTTAGTTCACTCTTTCCCTATATATATATATATATATATATATATATATATATATATATATATATATCGTTAAAATTTTCAATCGTTAATAAAATACTCTCTCTATTCATCCATTCAAGTTCAAATACATTTTTTAAAACTTGCAGTGGATGACACTTGATGTTTATACATTTTTTTCAATATTAATTCATTAATTAAATTAAAAAATGAATAAATAGTAACAAACAAAAATAATAGTCCAACAGCATATATAGAAAGGAAAATCATTCGTTGTGTCCCTGTAGCGCAATGGATAGCGCGTTGGACTTCTAAGCCAAAGGTCGTGGATCTGAATCCCACCTGGGATGGCCTAATTTTTGAGAATGTGATTTCTTTTTTACTATGCTATTTTATTAGAATAATTTAAATTTAATTAATGAATAAATAGTAACAAAAAAAAGTCCAACACCATGTATAGAAAGGTAATTAAAAACTGCAAGGAAAATAGCTTTCTATTTTGTCACTTAATACTGTGATTCTGTCACATATTTATATACATGTTAATATTAATTATAATTTTTTAATATAAAGTAACTAAAATAAAATTTTTCTTTGTCTAAGTAGGAATTGACTTAAGTTTTTTGTATAATACATGTGTGTGTGTGTGTGTGTGTTTTGTTGAGGTACACTTTTAACAATTTCAAAATTTGGTGGCAGACTAACAATAAAATAAAAGAATTTTACTTATCTGTTGTACTCTATGTAAAATAGTTTATGATAATAATTTTTAATGTTAAATAAAGTAATATGTACGACAAAGACAACAAAATGTTTATTGAGCAATTAATTACCAATTGATTGTAAGAATACATTTATTGCAGAATTTGAGCTTGTTGATTTTCGATAATTTCGATTATATTTGGTCGTAAAAATGACAGTGCCACTCTCATTTCGTCATTTACATTTAAAAGTCTTCGTCTTTTTTCATTCTTATGTTTGTTAATGCTGAGAATCCGAATTCACGCAAATAAGATGTAGAAAATTGTAACAATATTTTTAAGGTTTTTTTTTTTACTATTATGAGATAATCGCCTCTAATTTTAATCCAAATTGAATTAATTGACTCTTCTAGAATTTTGAAATTTAATCTCGATTATTACAGAGAAAATTATATATAGTTTTCCCTCTTCATTCAAAGTTAATTCATATGCAGATGTATCCGAACACAAATGGGGATTACGAACCCAATCAAATTTTTTTATATCCGTCTATCCACGAAAGCATAAGTTAAATATACAACGAATACCTTTAGTTTATTTTTATAAAACGGCCGAAAAATCTGGTTCCGGATTTTATTTTTTTTTCTCAGAGTATTATTAATAATTAAAAAAAAGGGCGTCACACCGAAGTGCCGCGGCCTAGTGGTTGAGAATCACTAGTCTACAGCAATGAGAAATTTTTTTATTTATATAATGTTGCTTTACATAATACGAGCGCCTTTTTTCTGTATCAATGATATGGAAGAAACACGGAGATGGTATTCATTATGTACGCTTCTTTAATTTTTATGCAAATATAATTTTAAGGTTGTATAGTGGGTATGTCTTGATTGGGGCAAATTAAATTTGTCACTACGTGCTTGGAAATTTATTAAAGGGTGTAGTTTTGGAACTTTGCCTTTTCTTGTGTGGACTACGCATTCATATATTCTAACCCACGTTAGGAATAAATTTGCCTTTTAATGACCTTGGCAAACATCTATCCGTCTGATTCTACTCAAGAGTGTAATGAACGGTGTAATTTTTCTTAACAATCAGTCGGACAAAAACATCATGCAGTTATTAATTAAAAAAAAAAAAAAGTAGCAACTCTGTACAAATTGGTTGTGACGAGCTCGTTTGGCAGATTTATATAATTTATATAACTTTTTGGCTCAGAGGCTGCATTTGATTAACTTTATGTTATGGAAAAGCTGGAAATTTTTGCACTTTTTTAAAGTTTCTGTAATTGGGGGGATAAAAAAAAGTCCTCGTGCTAAAAGGCAATTGGGTAAATAAACGGTAAACAATTATTATTTTGGCAGAAGAAGGTTTTTTCATCAGAACTCAATTTCATCTGTCTATTCCACGTTTCATAAATTTTGGACTAATTTGCAATGACAAGTCAAAATCAATTTTTTTTTTAAAAAAAAATTACTTTTCCTACATTGTCTTTTAAAGTTAGACATTTTTCAACAAGTAATTTGTTACACTTAATCTTATTGGTGTTTAATATTAAATGTAGATAAAAAAAAATGATATTTATAGTATTTGTTTTAGACTTGCTAAAATGAAAAAGTGATTTATATATGTATAAATTGTGGTCCTCCTGATTTGTTTAAATATGTATTATTGATAAATGAATTCCCGCGAATTAATATTATTGTTTTTTTATCGATCTATATTCACACGTAGAATTTCTTGCATGTGTGATTGATTCTTGATAGGTAATATTTTTATAAGTGGATTTCTATTCTAAGAATTATACTTTTAATATTTCTAATCAATACGAACTCTTTATCTTCACATTTCAGTAATTTATTATCTTAATGAACTTTCAAGTAGTGTTATCAGATGTTACATGCAGATTAAAATATTTTATAGCAACTATATATACACTTGATGCTGAATGAATTACCGGAATTCTGTACGCAATTCGCTCATTTTTATAACAATATTAATGGATTCATTCGTCCAGATAAATAAGTCATTTTTTGCGGATAAAACAGAATTATTTGCGCTACATTGGCTATTCAGTGTTGAATGAATAAAATGCGATCCAAATATAAAACGTGTCATTTGACGGTTATATTTCGTATTTATACAATCCATTGTATTCAGTGCGATCGTAAAAGAAAATGTCCATTTGGTAGGAAATGAATTCAGCTTATAAATGTTTAGTTGATTTGTTCTTAAGACATGGGAGCATAAAACTTTTTACTTGTTATTATTTTTTTTTGTATTGTAATTTTTGTTTTCCTTCATTAAGCTACAGTTCTTCATTATTAAATATAAAAATATTTATATTCGTTAAACGTTGCATTGTCGAAGCCTCATATAAATTGTTTTTTCCAGCCCATGATTGGGTTTCTTGTTGCGTGTAAAAATGAATCGTGTTCACCATTCTCATTTTCGACTTCGATACAGCAAGTTTTTCAATATTAATGTTCTTGTGCAATCGTTGAGAAATACAGGTTTCGCCCCTTGGTTTTGCTGTGTTGACAACTCCGTTCCGCGCTGTTCGCTGCCCCCGATTTTTCAAATAAGTATTTACACAATTCTTGATTGAGAAAACTAATTTTCCTTTGAAACTACCTCAGTTTCATAGCCATTAAGATCTTTTTTTAAAAAACTCTCAAGTGTTCGGTTTTCTCTCTCCAGGAAACATCTCGTAAAGGTTTCAAATTTTTTTTAAAAAAAAATTATTCCGAGTTCGTTAACAATCTTAAGAGCCGTTAGTTTTATTTGTGATATACTGAGTGAATTTTAAATATCTAGAAAAGTATTAGTGATCGATGTTTTAATTACGAATTTTCAAATGTTACAATAGTTTAGAATTTTGAATATGTTACATAACTGAAACATTTGACATTGGCTTATTCAAAAATTATTGGGAACCACTGATAAAATTTGTTTTTATATTCTAAAACATGGCAACAATTTATTTTCGTGAAGATTTTGCGGAATTGTTTTAATACCTATTTTCGCATAGCTTGGTATTACTATTTTTTATTTTAGATCAGTGTTTCGCAACCTTTTTTTTTTTTATCGCCGCGGATCGACGAACATTTGAAAATTTTACCGCGGCCTGCTGAGGATGGGACGTTGATTGTTTATATTTCAGATTGTTTTGATTTAGTAATTTTGATGTAATTGTATTTTATCATGCCTTCAGAATAAAATAGTTAAACCCCCAAAAATGATAAGTGATTTATCAAGGAATATAAAGTGATTTCTATAAAAAGTCGCACAAACCCGAGAGAAATACACCACAGTAAATAAAATGAAAATAATTTAATGTTCCTAATGTGGCCCAATATTATTTGATCCACGGACCGGTCCGCGACCGGGGGTTTCACTGCTTTAGATCACTACATAAAAATAAATGATGTTTCATCGGAAAGTGTTCGGATTATTTTGACTGGGACCCGACGCTGAAGTAGATGTTAAGGCCATACTGTATCACAAACGTGAATATATTTCTAAAATACAGTCGGACCTCTATATAAAGAAGTCGCTAAGTCCCTGAAATCGTTCGTTATAGGGAAAATGCGTTATATAGAGGTTTATCTTTTAATATACTTCATAAACCACATAAAACAAATTTTAAATTCTTAAACACTATATATTAAAAAAAGTAATTATTCTCACCTTTTTAAAAATTAATCTATGTTTATTTTATATATCTTACCCATCAGAAAAAAAAAAAAAAAAACCGCAAGGAAAACAAGAGAAAAAGGAATGTTGAAGAATACACTGTATTTTCAATATTAAGAAAATAATTTTATATTAGAATTAATGAATTTGAAGGACATTTTCTAATTTAACGCACACAAGTAATATTAACCATACATTATTTTATAACTAAGACATGGGGACACGGGACAACTCCACTGAGTGTGAAAGGGGATATCGAAGATTTTTTTAGTGAACTGAATAATGGGGGTTAAAGGTTGCACTTCTTGGATAAAACGTTCCGAATTCTATTGCTCTCGGCGAGCTAGGATCTAATAAAACCAGTTCAAGATTTATGATCACCATAAAATATATTAAAGAGAGAATAACTTGAAATGTGTGTGTGTGTGTTTGGAAATGCTTTAAAAATAAAGAGAAAAAAAATTGAATCACAAAAGAAGAAGTTCGTTACGTAGAAAATGCACTTCGCAATAGAGAAGTTATTTTACGAAGCAAATCGTGAAACGTTCAAGGTTCCAGAAAAAGGATCGCTGTATAGAAAAATTCGCAATATAGAGGTTCGACTGTATTTTGTTGATTCTAAGTTTATGATGGGAAGATTATTTATTGGGAAGAGTTACAAAGAATTAAACTTTACTTATCTGATATAATAAGAAAGGACGCAAACCATTGTTACTATCCTCATAAACCTTCTTGGTGAAACCTCGATGGAAAGATATTTCTTTCATATGCAAGTAATGGAAACGCTGTCGGTAATATGGTTCAAATAACTTCACATCTGCACATATCGTGTTTCCTAACTAAGATTAAACACTTTCAATTAAAGAAAAAACACAAACCTCGTGAGATAAACCCGTTGCAAAATGGCCATGGAATTTGTGTTTAATCATAGTATTTGTAAGCGCGTTTTTAAA